GGGGGGGGGGGGGGGGCTCATGTAATCCCATGCCATCGTCGTTAGATCATTGGCCTCGCATCCGTAGAATGCCGGGACGGAGCAACATGCAGGATGCACAGAGGGGGAGGGGAGTACTCTTGTTTCGGCTCTTGTTTCGGCTGTCAGACCATTGACCACGCGTGCTCTAGGGGACGGAGCACTGTCTCCACAGGACCGATCGCCGATCGAGGCGCGGGGGTGCACTCATGCAAACACACGCCGCAGGTCGGTAGACCATTAGCCTCCCTCGCATCCCTACAACGCCGGGACGCAGAGGTGATATGCCGGGTTTTTCGCCTGCCCAGTAGGGGCGGGGGACTTTTTCGTCACACCTTGTTGACCTTGGAGGCTCGAACATCGACTTCCGCAACATCTCTTTCCAGAAAGAACACCGCCGTTCCCACAACACCACCTCCAACATTCGGGCGATCGTTCAATGAGAACATTTTTCCGGGAGGGGGCGACGCGGACAGTAAAGACAAGCCCACCGCGCCGCACCCGGGAGGGTCCAACGAAACGCCTGCGCTTACAAAATAGAGGATAGATAATTGAGGCGATTGGATGACGGGGACCTTATTCGTGCGCTTCGGGCCTGCAAAACCATCACGGAGATATGTCTCGGGCAGCACGCGTCCTAGGGCTTGGGGGACGCTCATCAATTGCATAGCCGTACAAAGACGGGACACCGATGGACCTTATATAAATAGACAGTCGTGCTCTCACTGCAAAACTTCACTCCTTCAGGATGCCGACCTCGAGTTGTTGGCAACATCTGCTTCAAAAAACCCTGCCGTTTTCGAATGTTCCCAAGCCGTGGCGAACAGGCTCAGGGATCGATGTGGGCTAGGTCAACTTCGGCGTCATCCACCCAGTGTCTAATCTTTGCACCTGATGTTGTATCTTTGAAGCCACCGCCAGCTAGCTCGCTCGAACTACATCCCAGCCTTGCGTAGGTTCTGTATCGTACGGCGGGATGCAAGCGAGAAAAAAATAAAAGCCACCAAGTAGTCACACGAGCGTCTGCGCGTGTGTGCGATGCCGCTTGCTCTCGCTCACCTCTCTCACATCGGTGACCACAGCGACGTGCACCCGATGCGTGTGCTGCACCCAGTGCCCGGTGTCGTGGTGGACGGGTATGACGCACCCGGGGGGCATCGAGGCCAGCAGGCAGCGCACCATTTTCTCCTCCGGTATGCCAAGCACGTCCAGGACGGGCTGCAAGGCCTGAGGAGAGGAGGGTACAACAAACGGTGGAAAAATGGGGGGGGGCAGGAAAGTGAACACTTCAAACTTTGAAGTAGGCGGCGGTAGCAGGCAGCGCAGCAAGCAGGGTGTCCAGCACGCCCAGGACGGGATGCGAGGCCTGAGGAGAAGGGGGGCGTCCAGCAAGCGGATAAGGATTGGAACGCCTCCGCGAGGATTTTACTGATAGTGAATGAAGTGGGCCGCCCTCGCGGGAAACTCAGACACAACGAGGAAATACAACAGGGAAGGGGTGCGCAGACCCTATTACCAAACCCTAAACCTAAACCTTAACCCAACTCCCCCGATTGTATGCTTAACCCAAAAATCCAAAATGTTTCCTGATTACAAAAACCATGCGAAGGCTACTGTATGAAATAGAGGGGAAGGTCACGTATCCCGAACCTACGTCCAACATTACTGTCGTCCTGGAGGCTGCTGGGGGGG